TTTTCCCTTTATTTTTTCCAAGAAAATATAGTCACCATAGCTAGAATAAAAGCACAAGATACTATAACTTTATGATTTGGCATATGGTTGTAAAAATCTCAGCAATTTCTCCAAAATGAGGGAATAAAGTCATGGGAAAATATTGGGAAGTACTCACTAGAGAGTCTATGGAAGGAGATAAGGAATCTACTTTTCAACATCTTGGTTACATCATGTACAATACAAATTCCATTAATTTAAAAGGTGGGACTCATATAGTAATTGCAGGAGGCATACCTTAGTTCTTTATTTATGTTCACTCTTTTGCATAACAATACAATGATTTCAAAATCCAATAACCCCCAAACAGGAAAGGTGTAGACCAGGAATCCCCAACCCCCAGGCTGCAAACCAGTACTGGTCTGTGAACCATGAACCAAGCTGCGCATCTGGTGGGTAAGTGCACATGTGTGGGAATTAGGTTACACGCATGAAACTATCCCCTCCCCCACCGCCACTACTGCTGTTGGCAGGTGAAGCCAGAAAGGTTGGGCACCACTGGTGTAGCTTTTGAAATACATGTTTCTTAAAGATTAAAAAACACAACTTGGGGATGAGTCATGTATTAATATTTTTAGAATACTAGAATAGAATATTTAGAATACAATTATTTAGAATACAATAGAATATTTAGAATACAATTATACCAAAGCAAATTTCTGCCCACCTCAAGAACTAATGCTTAATAATGTTTGTACATTCTTCAGGAGCTATTGTAAAATTAATTTAGAAAATAGAAATGAAGAACAATTTGATATTCAACTATTATAGTTGGACTGCAGTCATTTATTACTATTTGCTGACATAAAACTTATCTTTTGCAATCATTGTTTCATTAAACTCCATTGCCTTAGGATTTTAAATAAAATAAAACTAAAACTAAAGCACTTATCTTTGAAAAATGTAATTAGGTTTTTTTTTTCATTTAACTCTCCTTCTAGATTAAAAAGGATATCTTCGCATCATTTTGAAATACATTTTTGTTCATCTCATACAATTCATCATATTATTATATAAATTTCCACTTACATTTTATAATGACAAGCATCCATGCTTTTTATTATCTTGTATATTATTTTAATACTTTGCTTTATTATACATTTTATTTATGTTTTTACTTTAAAGTACTTTGAGATGTTTACAGTTTAACCTAGGCCCTTCTCAGTATGAACGTTGGAATTTCCTGTCCCTATCTTTTATATGAATATGCTTTAAAAATAAAATATTCTAAGCTGTTTTAATGTGTTACTTCTTAAGCATTTTATTGTTTTACCTTGAAGCAAGAAAGCTCTCTGAAGATGCTTCAGCAAAGCAAGCAGTAAACATAATTCAATTTTAATAGGAGAAAGTTGTAAATTTGACTTGGGATGGACACTTCCTTAATAAAAGTGCAGTTTGAAAAGATTTGATATCAGGCAATGGTATCTTCAAAACTGCCTGTATAGAAGTGGAAAGGGATTCAAGTTGTAAAAGACAACTTTATTCTCAAAATATGTTGAATTGCAACATTCACAACCTTTTGCCATTTGTTTATCCTGACTCTGAACACATCCTGTATAAAGCAGAATCCTACAAACTCCTGCAGTTTGTCATCCTCCTATTCAGTCCTGTGTCTTTATTTCCTGGGTAGAAAATCACTTCATATTGGTTATAATATACAAAACGGATCAGTGAGAGAATATGTGGTCAAAAGAATTGAGATTTAGAGTAATGGATTAGTGTAGAAATAAACATTTCTCTTGAAATTTTTTCTGTGCTTTTCTGAAAAGAAGGACACCATTGTAAATATTGTAAAAACAAAGCAACATAAAATATCTATGGTTTATTGTGGTTTGAGGCAGTTAGAATATTGAAAAGTCAATTCATCTATATCCTTCATCCAAGGTAATGCGGTAAGAACAAAACTCAGGAATAAACCAAATCAAATGACCCCCCCCCCCCAAAAAAACCCCTGGTATTGGGAATATTCATGTAGAGACACAGCAACAAAAAATGTGTAATGTTGTATTATACAGATTTATTATTCCAAACTGAACATCCTTCTCTCTTCATCACAAACTTTACTGCACTTCTATTAAAAGCTCAAGCTTGGAACTGGTAGTCATTAAAGATTGCATGGCCAAACCTGAAGAGGAATCCTGTGTGGGTGCTTTTCCATACTTGATTCCTAAGAAGCCTGTACGGGACTGTAACATTCCTAATCCAGACTATATCACATACGTGAGTGTCAGTTGGACCGGGGTGAAATCCAACAGGTTCTGACAGGTTCTGGAGAACCGGTAGCAGAAATTTTGGCAGTTCGGAGAACCAGTAGCGGAAATTTTGAGTAGTTTGGAGAACTGGCAAATGCCATCTCTGGCTGGCCCCAGAGTGGGGTGGGAATGGAGATTTTGCAATATCCTTCCCCTGCCACACCCACCAAGCCACGCCCACCAAGCCACACCACACCACACCTCATCCACCAAGCCATGCCAACAGAACCAGTAGTAAAAAAAAATTGGATTTCACCACTGAGTTGGACCATCTAAAAAGTTAAGAGGGTGGTGGCAATTGCACAATTACAGACACAACCCTTCTAACACGTGAACATAAAAAGCTGTGGGGCTTTGAATGTGTAGTCACAACTATGATCTTGATTTTTTAAAAAAATCCTGCCTTCCTGGACAAATACTCCTGGTCAAAAAATTATGCAAAGCTAATTTTATACATAATTATATTTATATGTGCCAGCAGAATTAACTTGCAAAGTTTTTAGAAATAAAGTTATCTTCTAAAAAAACAAAACAAAAATATGGATACCAAGCATTTATTTCTTTTTGTCTACATATTAATGATAATTAAAAATTGTATATTATATGATAACTGTTGTCACTATAGATTTTATGAACATAATTTAGACTAATATACAATTTTTAATTATCACTGATATGTAGAATTTGCAATTAGCTTACCATTCTGTTTTCTCTCGATTAAAATGGAAAGCACAAAACTTTCATTTGCTGAAATTTAGCACAGAAGTATAACTACCATCAAGTTTAACAACTCTTATTATTTTTTTATCCCACCTTTATTACTTTTTATAAATAACTCAAGGCAGTGAACGTATCTAAGATTCCTTCCTCCTAAAGGGCTTTTGGCCAGTTAAAATAAGCAACGATAAAGATTTTCCAGAAATGGATTCAGCCCAAAAGGTCTTTTTCATCCAAAGAACAGCATATTTTTCAAGGATTTTCTGGTGTAACTAACTTGTTTTCCTAGAAAGCAGCATTCAGAATAAATTTGGATCATATAATGCTTGAAGTTAAAACACTATTGCTTGCCTGAGGTCATTTACATCTAGTATCTATTATTACTATATTTTGGGCATTCTATTGTTTCTGAAACCATTAAAAATATTGGAATAATTTTTTCTTAAAAATGTTTATACTTCTTGCTGTTTTTTTTCCTTTCCTCTTTCTGTCTCAAGACAATAACTGCTACTGTAAAAGGAAAAAGCTTTCAAAATAGTAGAGAGTTAAATAATTCCTGAGAAGGCCCAACACAAATGCTAGTGTCATTGTACAGTAGCTCCAAAATACCGCTGAGTTCAATAGTGATTATAATATGGTGATTGCATCATTGTAGAAAGGTAAACTGACCCAGAAAACTGGCTCTCTACCTGTTATAGGAAATTGAAGGTTGATTCAAATACCAAAGTTCAGAGCTCAATTGGCTATGAAACTGTTGAGGTTACTTTAGGCCTATCAAAATCCGTCAGCCTAAACTCATAGTTGTCAAGTCCAAAACCAAGAATGACACCCTGAATTCTTCATTGTTTCAGACCTAAAGATAAAATCTTGCCAGACTCTACTATATGCATCTACAACATACTCTGTGAAATTTGGGGAGGGGATGTCTTGATGTGGCTTAAAGCAGATTTCCTCACATGCACCCTTTTTAATTTTTTAAAATATGTATTTTAAAAAAAGATCATATCTATAAATGGATAATTATTAAAGTTATACAATTAAAATTCAAGGTCACAGTAGTAAAAGATAAACCATACCAAGCAAACCACATTGAATTCTTTTATGTTATTAAAAAGTATAAATTTTAGTTTAATATCAAAATCTCCACTATATTATTTACAAATGTTCAAAAAAGAAAAAAAGGGAAGGACTTTAAAAAATAATTTCTGACTCTGGCCTCCTTTGTACCCCAACTGATTTGTAGTATATATTGGTGTAAACTTTGAAACTTAAAATAATCTTCTATAGCAAGGGTGTTGAATCTTGGCAACTTTAAGACTTGTGGACTTCAATTCCCAGAATTCCTCAGCCAGCCCAGCATTGAAGAAGAGCTTTCAGCATCTCCAACCAGCCAACACCCCTGAATGGTACCATGTTGGGGAGGAGGACTCTTTTAAGCTAAGAGTCTTTCAGTGTAGGAGTTCAACTCTGTACTTTTTTTGGCTGTTCATGTATGGTTTCCACTATGCCAATACTCTTGGCATGGGTATTCTTTATTCAGCTTGCAGTTTTCGTTACGCCCCTGCCTCTAATATGTAACCTAGCTGCTGTTTCAGTGGCAGCAGCTCAACACTGAAACGTGATATGGTTTTTGTGGTTCATGTGTGCAATGTCTTTGAGTTTGTAATACATGGACTATATCTATCTGGCAAAGTTCCTTAGTTAGCCGCCTGTGTTCTCAATGCCAGAAGGAAAATAGCTCAAATGTGTTAGCAGGTTACAGGCCCAAGCATGCTTGCTTCCAGCAATCATTTGTAGCTGCCCCTTTCAATTTCCATTTAAGCTACTGCTTATTTTCTGTACCTAATCCTAACTAGATTTGGTTCAGAAACGCAACCTGGACTTCTATGCTGTTTAAATATATGAAATCTCTTTCATCTTGAAAAAGATCTTTTTTCTTTTTTTCTTTTTTTAAAAATATTTTTTTATTATAGTTCAAAAAAACCAAAGACAAATGTATAATAGTTTTTTTATCACGGTGTAACATCACCAAAATATCCATGTATATATACACCAATAATCAGAAAGTAAAAATAGAAAATATTTATAGATTCTTATATACAAATTTACATTTCCAATACTTATTGATTACCATAATTATACCATCATCTATAATTATAATCCAGCAATATCCTTCGTCTCTCTCCCATCTTTTCTGGATCGAATCATACCACATCTTTTTTCTTCATTGATTGTCTATTTGCTAGGCTGCCTGGTATTGATACAGGAACATAAGAACATATGTAGCAAAATATAGGCATATATAGGAACCGTCCATGTTATTTCATCTTACATGACTGTCTTGAATTAGTAGCATTTTACAGTGTGGTAACTTAATTGAAATCCTATAAAAATATAGGACTATATAAAACTCTGTTGTTACTCCTATTTGTGTTTATGCTACTGAAATGGTTACTACTGAGAAAAGTCTAATTCAGAAAGCTACCTGTTTCTCTCCTCTTGTCCGCATCTAGCCTAAAGCTGAAGTAATGGGTTTTGAACGATTTTACAGGCAAAGCATAGCAATTTACATGTATATAGGTAACCCATGTATGGCATTCATTGCTGACTCTAACAACTGCCCACATCAATCTATCTTCATGTTCTCTAAATGCATAATTATGAATTTAATTTTCAGAATACCCTTTGCAATTACAGCAAAGAGCCATGAGAGTATGCAACATTTTAAACATTTAAATTATAATTAATATTGTTGTTTTGGTTTCCTTTTTTCCTTTTGTTTTGTATCAACAAACTTTCAATAACATCTACCCCCAGGGGGGAGGGTGGGATGAGGGGAGGGAAAGAGTGGGGGGAATATGGGGGGGAAGAAAATTTTTGTTTTTTGTAAAACTTTTCAATAATAAAAAAAAAACATCTACCCCTTACCCCAGGGGTGAAATCTACTTACTTTCCTTACCAGCTCGGAAGTGCACGCACTCCATGCATGCATGTGTCACATGCACACACAGACCCTCTGCGCATGCGCAAAACCTTCTGTGTATGCACAGAGGGTAAAAAAACATTACTTCCTGGTTAAAACCAGGACACCCGGGCAGGTAGGAGGAGCCTCACGCCGCCATCACTACCGGTTCTCCGAACCACCTGCCACAATCGCTATTGGATCGCCCAATCCAGTCCGAACCGGGAGGATTTCACCCCTGCCTTACCCCCTCCCAAACTTACCTTGTACATTCTGCAGTTTGACAGTGTTTCTCCATCCTGCAATTTCTTCCTACAGAAATTCATAGAATTTTGCAACATTAAGGAATGTTATATGCACATTGGCAGACAAGAGTTTTCAATACATCTTCAAAGTTGAAGAACAGACATTTGAAGAGATAGATCTTCCTTATGCACAACCAAGATAACATGACTGCTCCTTCCTTTTTAACAAATATTACTTTTAATGGATTAAAACTGACTGACGTATAAGCTTTGTACATTGCTCTTAATAAATCAAGCTGCCTAAATCAGCTTATGGCACTGGCAGGCTAAAAGTCACCAAATAAAAATCTAAACAATTAAAATACGCAATGATACAAGTCTACTATAATTCTTAATAGTAAAAAAAACGACAGGCCAGTAAAAAATAAACACACAAAAACACAAATGAGTAATTTCTCGTTTCTAAACAGCAGATATGTTTAAAAACAACACACGAATTGTTTAAAATGCCTTGGTGAATATAACTGTTTGCATATGTATTTAAAAGTCAAACAGATTTCCCTGGTTTTAGTGGGAATGAACAAGTCAGCGTGATGCTCATGCTAACATAGAACAGGATAAGGCTGCAAATGCTGAGATACAGAGAAAGCTTTGGAGGACACAGCTGTTGGTTATACGCACTTCCAACAGCACTGAAATAACACTGTTTTGTTGCCAATGCCGAAATAAGATTAACTAGCATTCCATTCTAAGTTGAGAATTCTTTTGTTGTCTCAGGCAATGAAATTTCTTGGGCCATCTCTGCTGAGGATATCATGTCAGGCTTAGATTAAATTCAAGAGTGTGTTTTCTCTTTTAAAGCAGCTCATGGCTGGGACTGGTATAAAAATCTTGTAAAAGACGTTGGTCAAAACACAGCTTTGATGGCCTTTTAGAAGGTACCGTATGTTCTTAGTTAAAGACGATGGGTGTTAATTGAGTTCATCATAAGCAGCCTTTATAAACAGTTTTGCAAAGCATGCTGCTTTAGAAATATTGTTTAACTGCCTTAATTGGTTTATAAGCTGTCTACTGATGTGAGATTTGAATGCAGGTAATCTTTGACTTACAACAGTTCATTTAGTGACTGTTCAAAGTTACAACAGCACTGGAAAAAGTGACTTATGATCATTTTTCACACTTATGACCATTGCCGCACCCCCATGATCATGTGATCAAAATTCAGATGCTTGGCAACTGGTTCATACTTATGATTGTTGCTGTATCCCAAGGTCATGTGATTCTCTTTTGCAACCGTTTGATAAGCAAAGTAAATGGGGAAGCCACATTCACTTAACAACCAGGTTACTAACTTATCAGCTGCGGTGGTTCACTTAACCACTGTGGCAAGAAAGGTCGTACAATGAGGCAAAACTCACTTAACAAAAGTCTCACTTAATAATAGAAATTTTGGACTCAGTTGTGGTTGTAAGTCGAGGACTACCTGTATTCAAAAGATGAATAAAATAGTAAACAGAGGATTTGTATTTACTTCATTTTGGTGAAATTTTCTCATATCTATTCCATTGCTGATTTGATGAACAAAAGACTTTACATGAATCCTAAGTGCATCTATTATTAAATGTCAAAACGCTGGATTAAAGAAATCTGTGAAGCCTATAGATACTTAGATAGGCATAGAATTAAATAGGAGGACTTTTTTATGGAAATACAATGGAATTATTGTACATGCAAGAAGGCTCTTCATTGATATCACCTGGAAAACAGAGAAAGCAAAGATTCCTTTTATACATAGTTGTGTCTACAGGCTTTTCCTGCTTTTATTGAACTGTTGAGATCAGTGTCACAGCATTTCACTGAAAGCGCTATTCCTTTGGGACATGTGTGCAGTGTTGCATGTAGAAGAGGATGGGGCTTGAACTGTGATCTGCAATGCTGCTTTTGTCAGCCTGAAGTCCCTTGTTCCTCCTCTCTGTCCTAGGATGGTGCTGCTTCTATAGCATTTCCAGAGTAGCTGTTCAATAGCCCCTTCCCTTCCCATGCTTCTCTTCCCTCCCTTTAATAATTATTCCTGATAAGGCAGGGTTAAACATGTTACAAGCTTTTTGTATCAAAGCTGCATTATCACTTTTCAACAATTATTTGGAAGAAGTACTTTGGACCTTGGGTAAATTACAATTCCTCTCTGCTACTCATTAAAATAACTGGTCTAGTTTCAATCTCCCAACTTAGTCTAAAACATATAGCTGCTTCAAATCACATGAATCAACTCCTTAAAGCTGTTTTACCTTTTTTTTTCATATGACAAATCTGAAAAAAATGTGCGTCGGTTTTAAGGGATATCCTCCCAAAAGTACCACCCAATTCCAGATCCAAACAACTTTATCTAATCCAAAGTCACAGATCATAAACAACAACATCACCTGAAGCGCAAATTTAAATTTGGATTTTCCCAGGCTGCAAGGAACTCTTTCAAAACAATTCCTAAACCAAGAATTCAGTATAAAATTAACTGAAGCTGCAACAAAAAGATAATACAAATATGCAAATATTTACGTTATATCAGATTATAATGCACAAAGTAGTTACAACATACACCTACACATGCACAGCTATAAATTCTACTTTAATTTTAAGAACCATACTTTTTTATATTTATGACTTCTTGCTTGACTAAGAATTTTACTATGCTATAATCTTGTCCTGTCTTGTTTCCCATTTGCTTAAACCTTGTATTTAAGCTAACAAGAAAACTGTCTTTATGTAATGCACTCATTTTTGGATTATATATTTGGTTAGTTAAGCCTTAAATGCTGGTTGCAACAAAAATCTTTCTGTTAACTTGAAGGCAATCATTCAAAGAAATTTAGGGTACTTATCTAATTCAAAAATACATACTTTTATAGCTGTACAAATTATTCAGCTAAATTTGCTGTTGTATAAGTCCTGGAACATTATGGTATGAACAAATCTGTAACAAAACACCATCCTATGAACAGGAAAATAATGCAATCATCAAGAATGCTAGCAAAACAAATATATGGCTATAATCATTTTAATATAAGGCTGCATTTTCCCCATAAAAGCACTAAACACAACGCATATTTAACAAGCATTTTTTTTATCACATTCTGATATAAAATCCAAGGAGCCAAGCATTTAGATTTGCTCATGAAAACCAATGCAGCCAGCTTTAGAAAATTAGGTATATTAGAAATCATTTGATGGCACTCTATTGTTGCTATTGTAATCACTGTAATTTTCATTCGTAACAGTACTTCGTGATTAAGTAGGGTTCTCACAGAATCACTGTGAAAGATACCGGAAGAATCAGAATATAGCATCTGGTTGTAAAAAGCTCTTCAGATTCAAGTTGGCATTATATTTTTTTCTTGAAAATTTATTAGAGATTCATATCATGCCATTTTAAGTGGAAAAGGTGAAAGCAAAGTAATTTTGTTCTATGAATTATTCATAATTATTCAGACTGGGTAAGATTACCATCCAGGCACTGATTTCACTGACAGTTTCTTCTGCTGCGCCTCCATTATGCTTGTCATTTTTATTTCTTTTATCTGCAATTGCTTTCTTAGTTACTGAACTCGCCCCTTAGGGCTTCCTTTTCGCAAAAACAGAGTATTTCAAATCAGCAAGAATGCAGACCGGGTGCAACTTGCCTCAAATCACAGTTCTCCACAAACTATCTACCCTCCACCCCACAGCATTTTGAAATTCACATCCACACAGATGCCTAGTAGACCTATATATACTATATATAGTATATATAAGTCTATATATATTTGGTACTTATATCTAAAGCTGCATATAAAAGAAAAAGCAGAAGACAAAAAGCATAATATACTGAGAAAGAGTTATATTTTTCCTGAAAGATCCCAGGAGTCAGGGTATGTGGCGATCCTTCCTTGGTTGTCAGTGTAACCCATCCCAGCTGCATAGCACCACGCAGAAACAAACCACAGTTAAAGCAGACTGACTTCAGCACTCTATTTCCAACATGACGCGGACAAGGAGTGCCCTCGTGACAGGCTAATCCATACAAACATACACTTCAGAGACCCCAAAGCCATTAATAGCTGCTGATGGAAAAGAGAAGGTAAAAGGAAGTCAGCAGCGCTCGGGACCGACTGCAATCCCAGAGAGGCTCCACTTGATGGCTGGTTGTGTCCCTGCTAGTCGGTTGCTCTCCTGTATCCATCCAAAAGGACTGGAACTGAGCTGGATCAGGGAGCCTGGTTTGAGCTTTTGCTCTGACTGATCTTTGGCTACCTACAGAACCAGGACTAAATACTACTCTGGGATGTTTAGATGGCTTCAAGAGCGAAGAGCTGAGGAAAAACAAAAAGAGGAGAAGGGGGAGAGAAGGAAGGCCCCAGGCAGTGACAAGTAGCATCTCCTTTCTCCTGTTCTTGCAGGTGTCTATCGCAGTGGCACAAGCAACGGTTCGCGTGCAAGGCAGAAAGCGAATCATTCTCCATCAGAGGCATTTAGGAAAAAAGACTCCGAGCAGTGCCTGCCTCAGTTCAACATCGCTGCTAATGTCAGAAGCCTACATCCACATCCCAGGTGGTCTGCTGTTCCTGCACTCTAAAAAAAACAGAAATGTGCAGTACATTAAAAGAGACAGTTTCTCTGCAATAAAAAATAATAAAAGCTATGCTGCTCCGTGCCCGGTTCTAGGCGTCTGCTTTGCCGCACTGCGACTAGAAAACTGCAGCAGGGAGAGCTCTGGCACTTACAGTAATGTAGAAAGCAGCAGCTCTGTGACAAAGCAGTCAGCTGACTCACACTGCTATAATTCTGTGTCCTCTAAAAATAAGACTAGTTTTGAAGGTAGTGCCAGAAGGATGACCCGGCATCCCAAATCTGGCTCTCAAAAAGTAATTATGACCCAGGTGGTGTTTGGAATTCTTCAGTTTTGTTTTAAATTGCATGATTTTTGTGATTTTGAGCTGTTTTGAACAGGCTGGTTTTCTAATGAATGCAGACTTTGGCTGCTTTATATGAATTCTGGTGTACAGAATTGTTTGTGATGTTTTATAAAGATAAAAAGGGTTGTGAATCTGAGGTACACTGGAAACAGGCAAGGTTCTTTTTCTTTTTCACCTATCATCAAATTTGCCCTTTTCTAATCAAAACACAAGGATGGTCCTCAGAATCCAAAGAAATGATCAAGATTTTGCACTGTTTAATGAGATGAAAGGAGGAAAATTAGTAAATACACAGGAGTAATTATATTAATAGTATTTTTTTTAATCAGTTTAATTAAAATCTAAACAATCATCTTGGCCTCACTCACTTTTGGTATTGGGTTGTCAGTCCTTTGAGGTAGCTCAGGCAAGAAGCACAAACCTTAAAAATTAACAATACCTTTATTGAAAAGTTGCAGTAACAGAATCTTGCAAGTCTGAACGAATCTTTCTCTGCCCTTCCTTCCATACTTATGGTCCAAGAAACTAGGAAGGGTCCCTTTTTGACATGTTTGCCGTGCCTCCCATTCCTTCTCCAGGTGAAACTACCTCTTATCTGACCATGTGGATCAGTAGCTCCTCCTGTCTCTCAAAAGCGTTCTCACAGACCAGTACGTTGGACTGTAGTATATTAGGCCAAAGGCATTCTTGTGCTAGGGCAATAAGTGTCATACGGCATATAAACTAAAAATTTAAGAACCTAATTGTTGCTGCTTGAATTCTGCCATTCAGCATGCATTCTTTCAAAATGGGGACTATGCAACAAATTATTCAGAAGACTATCTCTCCCCAAATGTCTCTACCAGTCATCATCAATCTGCAGCAAGAACATGCGTGCTCTTTGTTGTGTTGGCCATGCGGTGCCAGCTGGCAGAAAGAGGGCCTTTCTTGTCATGGTCCTTGTCCATTGGAACATCAGACCCTTTAAATTAGATTTGTCCTGTTCCTGCTGAGCTTTCCTAAGGCTCTGAAAACTTGGGTTAGTGCATGGGTCTGGGACCATGGGTGTGTGATAGAACCTGCCTCCTAGCTATGTTAATAGATGTTCGATGATGCTTGGTTGCTTTACGTTTTATTTTTACACGAAATATTTCTTCTGTTTTATTGTAAGCCATCTAGAATTACATAAGTGAGATGGGCAGCTCTATAAATCAAACAAATGAACAAACACATTTAGACTAGAAAACTGTACCAAAAGCTTCTAATGTTGGTGCTTTTGGTTATCAAAACTACCTGGCATTTCTCCTATAGTTATGAAATATCTAGTATTAATAGTATATTTTAAACATAGCATACATTACTAATTGATTGTGATCAGTGGTGAAATCTAAAATTTATTACTACAGGTTCTGTGGGCATGGCTTGGTGGTGGTGGGGTAATGTGACTGGGTGGGTGTGGCCATTTTTTTTTTTTACTTTTAAAACCATTTTTTCTACAACCTCTTTGGCAAAGAGGTTGTAAAAAAATGCTTTCAAAAGGCTCTGACGATCCCAGCTGAGTTGCCTGATCGGCAGAGACTTTTTTCTTTTAAATGCCTCTGTCGATCAAGCAACTCAGCTTGGATCGTCAGAGGCATTTAAAAGAAAAAAAGGGTTTTTTTCTTTTAAAAGCCTTTGATGATCCCAGCTGAGCCAGCCGCATGATCATCAGAGGCTTTTTTTTTACGTCTGAAGAGGTTGTAGAAAAAATGCTTTTAAAAGTAAAAAAAGCGCCTCTGATGATTGCGCGGCTCAGCTGGGCATGGGGGGGGGAACAGGGATTTTTGCTACCGGTTCTCTGAACCACCCACCTCCATCGCTACTGGATTGGGTGATCTGGTCCAAACCAGCAGCATTTCACCCCTGATTGTGATGCATGACATACTTAACCTAGTTATGAGCCCAACTAGTGATGTTCACATAATATCCTGAGCCATAAATGAATCAAATCTAGTTAGGTTAACTCAAGAAGTTAACCCAAAAGTAGATTAAGGTTAACACTAACCAAAGTTCATTAAATGCATCTCTAGGTTTTACCTGGCTGGTAAATTAAAAATGTGGGGTGAATCCAGTCAAGGTGTTGCTTTTGTGATGAAGGACAAATTGCTGCATTCATGAAATGCAAGTAAACGGTTAACTGGACATTGCTTTATAAGGAAAGGAACCAGAAATCTATAAAAACATGGACAGAGAAAGATGAAAAAATGACACTGTTGACTGTTCATCAACTGTGGGTGGGGTGGGGGGATATTTAAAATTTATAAAATAAAAAAAGGAGAAAAGTGGGTACCCTTGTGACATCACAATGTTCAGAGAAACATTCCAGTACAGATTTCCCTGATACCATTTCACCTATAAAAGGGATGCGGTGGCTCAGTGGCTAAGACGCTGAGCTTGTCGATTGAAAGGTTGGCAGTTCAGCGGTTTGAATCCCTAGTGCCATGTAATGGGGTGAGCTCCTGTTACTTGCCCCATCTTCTGCCAACCTAGCAATTCAAAAGCATGTAAAAAATGCAAGTAGAAAAAATAGGGACCACCTTTGGTGGGAAGGTAACAGTGTTCCGTGTGCCTTTGGCATTTAGTCATGCTGGTCACATGACCACGGAGACATCTTAAGACAGCACTGGCTCTTCAGCTTTGAAACAGAGATGAGCACTGCCCCCTAGAGTCAGGAACGACTAGCACATATGTGCGAGGGGAACCTTTACCTTTATTTCACCTATGAAGCAAGTCAATGTGAGAGTGGGCGGACATGAAATAATGGCCTGGAAGGTGCTGACCCCCTGTTCTCCACTGTGCATGCCTCATTGTCGCCTACCCACACCTGGTCACAGCAGGAACAGAAAATCTGTGAGTTAAACTACGTTTTCAATGGAAAAACTTCTCAATGGAGAATGGAGAATGGAGTTTGTGCTGATGGAGAATGGTCCCTTGCTATTCTGTTTGGAGACCATTTAGGAGAACACATTTGAAAGACTTTCCTCTCAGGTTATTCGCCTTACCTCCAATGTCCCTAGACAGCTGACTATCTTGTAGGGTCCTCTTATATTTTCAGTCCAAAGAAATGAAGAGGATTCTGTGTGCACATTCAATTGAATATGCCCAGAGTTTCATGATCAGAAGCATTGGAAAAGCATAATGCCCCAATACTTGAAACCCTATATGATGTTGAGTTCCGCTACAAATAACCTTTTTTTCCTTTTCTTTTCTCACTGAATGTTTGAAGATTTAAAAAAAACCCAAGATTTCTTCTGAAACCGATATTTCAAATGAATGCCCACTTATTAATCTGCAAATTTGTACAGGTAAACACATGTACAGAACTACAGCATATATGCAACTTTATACTTATTTATCTGAACATTTTGCTGGAAACTACCGGTAGTTGTATAATAAGTAAATATATGCAGGACTGCTCAGTTACAGTAATCCATTAAAATTAGTTCATATCCCTCCCCCACCCCTAAAATCTTTAGACAAGAATGAAGCATACTGCATGACTGCAATCAAGTCTGTAATGAAACAACTTTTTTCCTGTTGTTCCTTTTTTTCTATTGGGTGGTCCTGTATTTAAATGGTTGCTCTGTTCAGTCATTGCCAACTTGTTTTAATTTATTAAGCTATAAAAGAAGCATGGCATCCTAATTTTCCTAGAATAAAGCTGTATTGCATAATCTTTAAAGAAAATACGAACAAGGAATGGGAAAGGGGAAGAAATCAAGACAATGTTTATTTGTTGATATCTCTTTAAGAAGGATCCAAAGATGATACCATCTGTTCTTACAATTTGGTTGATATTTCAAAATTCTTTCTGTGAAAGAGATCCTGGAAAAGGAGTATGCCAGTATCCAGGAAGCCTTCATACACTATACATACTTCACCATAGTTAATAATGATACTTGGAGGAAATAATTATCTCTGTTCCCAAAATATTCCCAAAATATTTTGATAGACTGCCGTTTTTATAGGCACAGGGGTCTAACAGAGATTAACTGGGTCTGTTTTTCTGAGCCTTAGTTTTGTTACATGGCACAGATCTATTTATTTATTTTTAAAAACATCTTTATTAAGTCTGTAAAGATAATTTTGTCTGCCATTTAAACATTCAGCATATGGGAAATAGGGGAAAAAAATCACTATACTAAATATATAATCCAAAACTGGTATAGCATGACTATTTTTTCTTATTGTGATGCAGTTGCATTGACATTTGAAAACTAATATTTTTCTGTTTCACTTTGAAAAACTCTGTACTATGTAGCCTTTCCCCCAGATTTACGATAGAAAATGTAAATCTATAGGGAAGATTTATTTTATTTTTTTTAATTATTCCCAAACCGTTTTTGAACAGCAAAGCTCTTAAATTATCTTCGTCAATTTGGTAAATGTACAAAAATATAATATTGAGTTGAGCCATATTGTGTGCAATATGGCTCAACTGCCATATTGCACACAATTGTTATTGGACAATAACAAAATACTGGTTAGCAAAATACTATAATTAAACATTAATATCAACATTAAAGATGACTCCTTGAATACATGTACACACACATACAGCACATGTTATTTTTCACCACGTAAGCAGTTTTACTGAAGTTCCACATTGAGTATTTGTGCTCATTCAAGCACATGTATCTGGCTAGGTCAGATGGTAAGAAACCAAAGGAAACAAACCAGAAAAAAAAAGCCTTACCCTATTAGACCAATTTAAAACAGGCCATGTGCCAAGTTCATTTGGTTTATACAAGCTCATAGAGACAAAACCCCAGGCACAATTATT